ACTTACTGAGATCCCATTTAAGCCCTGTGGTTGTGGTTTTGGCAGATGGAGTTCCAATAGGGACGAGTCCACAGTGAGGCCCTACGAGAGAGGACTGAATTTGAATCTCATGTCGATGAGTCTTTGGAAGGAGTTGGATGAGGCAATCATCAGATAAAAGGATTATCCTTGTGTCTGGATACCGATACAAGACATTGAGATTACCAGCTTCATGATCAAATCTTCCTCCGAGTGCCCCTGTAGCAAGAATTTGGAGCTACCAGAAGAAAGAAAGAAAAAGTTGAAAATGTTAAAAACGTATGCAGACAAACAAAACACTGAGCTTTTCGCCAATCATTAACTTACTTTCGAACTCTCTTGATTCAAAGCAGAGTCACGGATATACAAGATGCATTTATCAAGATCTGTGGTATCTTGATCATGAGATTCATCTATAACCTTAGTTCCCTGAGAGAAAAGAAAAAAACCACCAAGTAGAACAATCAAAAACCGAGATAAAAGCTATGTCGAATCTCACAAAGACACCAAGCAATGCAAAAAAACAATAACGTCAAGGAAAAAACACACAAAGAGCTTACCAAGCTTGCATAAAAGTCGAGGACATCGCGCCGAATAGAGTCCATATCTCCCTTGATAACATCCGGTTTATACCTAAAAATACAATCACACACATTCTCAGAACTCTCTCTTAAAGTTCAAATTTGGCTATAAAGACAAGATTTTTCCAGATTCAAGTAAAAAAAAATCAACATCTAATTTAGCACACATCATCAAGTCATAAGATAAGAGTTTGAATCTATGAAACAGAGCTCTATTTAGGTATCTTCAGGGGAGACTCATTATTCCAATTAACCACCACCAGAGAAAGAAAAAAAAAATCTCCCTAAATTTTCATAATCCGAAGCAGAAATCAAACCTGTTTCGAACGACGAAAGCGTCTTCATGAGGGAAGAAGAGAGGTAATTCGTCGTAGATACGATTTGCGCCTCCATCAGCACAGAGACGAAGTTTTGCTGTTCTACACAGAAATTCGAAACAAGTAAACGAACCCTAATACCCAGAACGAGTCCAATTTTCTAACGAAAAGAGCGATTCATCGAAAAAAAAGAGGAGAAGCTACCATGTTCCCAGAGAAGAGGAGTGAATCGTGGTAGATTCTGATTGAGAACAACGAGTGCGTATCTCGTCTCGTCGGCGGGAATCGACGGGAGGAGAAAGCTTGAAGAGTGAAACATTGCTTCCATGGCAGACAC